TAGTGTTGCTAAAAACAAAGTTACTGAATGATTTGCATGAAATTGGATTTTTATAACCACTCTGAGCAAATGGGGTGTACAAGTTGAGAACATGTCAGTTAACAGAGCCTCGGAGAACTGTGATTGCAACGATGAGTTTTATATAAACGTGTAATTGCCTTATCAGACTCTATCCTCAGCCTGTATAATATGGATAATAATAATGGAAAAACCGTTACGGTGCGCTTGCTAAAAGTTGTTTTTTTTTCTTTTTTTGTGTAAAATCAGCCATTTATCATCATGGTAATCTGCAAATTTAAATCAAAGCTATTGCACTATTTTTTTTTTCTGTATTTATTTTTGTTTTGTTTTCCGAGAACGTTCAAATTTGACTTTGGTAACTGTGCTATTAGGCAAACAATATATTTCTGCATATCATTTGCCGAATAGTATTATAGTCCGTCCCCTGTCTCCTTTTTTTTTTTTTTTTTTTAACTATCCGATTAAACTGGCCTAGTGGGACATTTTGCAAAGTCTTTTTTTTTTTAAATTTTGGGGAAAACAAGAACAAAAAAACATAAATTCAGCAAACAAGTTTAGCTGCCAAACTGGATGACTGAGACTCTCCATATACATAAAGAACATTATTTTTTTAATTTTTATTTTTATAAAAAATCAACAGGAAAATCCACTGAAACATACGCAATTGCCTAATTTATCTCACAAACGTTCACACAGGGAGCAATATTTTGCAAGCAAGAGAATACATTTTAACTTATTGTCACAATATTAATTATAAAAAAAAATAAAAAAAAAACTATCCGCCTGCCAGAATTTTTTGTCATCCAGGTCATGGTAATCCACAAAGGTTGAATCGCGGCAACCGGACTTTTTTTTTTTTTTTTTAATGTGTTGTTTTGTTCTTTTTTTCCAAAAACCTTCAAATCTGACTTGGGAAATGATGCTATTAGGTTCACGTTTGGAATGAAAAGAATAGCACGACTTTTCCTCATAAAACATTTCATCACATCTATTGCTTGACTGTGATCGTTAAAAAAAGAAATGAATCATCACTTTTTGCGGCACATAAATGACACAAATCTACTGAAATTTCCATTTCATTCCATTTCCTTCGCTACCGAGACAAAATGAAGCGTAAGCTGCAAGCAAAACAGCACTATAGGAACACACAAACATCCTGTCTGTTCGACTGTGAGAGGATGTCTGGAGCCGACTGTAAATCCCAGTGTGTATTGTCTCGTATTATGGTGCCAATTAATGCTTGGATGCCACTGAAGGCAGCGCTCTCGTCGAAAGGATTTCCTTTGTATAATATCAAGTACTTTTCCGCATATAGACTGTGGAGCTTACTGCGGGGGACCAGATGTCGCAAATATTAAAAGTGGTGGATCCTTTGGGCACTTGGTTTATCGTAACGTTTGCGTACCGGTCTGCACGAACATGATTCACCGTCATCTCCAAATGTTTTTCTGCATTGTCAGCGCATCTCGGGATTCAACCCACTTCCTCAATAACACATTAACTCGTGTATATCTGGAAGGAATTTAACCACCATGGACATATTTTGAGGGGGTGGGGGGGTTGTACAATTTTCAAGGTTTTTCCCATAAGCACCAAACAGGTTTCCTCAAAACAGCTGCGCTTTCAGTGCAGCTGTCACCCGAACTGCCATTTGCGCCCCCGTGGCTTGACACCTGCATTCCGGGACGCTTTCAAAACAACACCATTTGCAGTTTTAGGTACTAATAGCAGCTGAGTTTAACATTTATGAAAATTGAATACTGCTTCGGTCTTGGTAAGCAATACAGAGTAAATGTGGAGAAATAGTGCAAGATGCATTTAATTTATTCCGTGACCATTCTCCATTAAAATAAATGGAAATGCCATTAATCCGTTCCAGGCCTTTGTAAAGAAAATACAACTTTACGATATTGTACGTTATAGAAACATAAAATAATAAACAGAGGTGTGCATCTCGTCATAAAAGTGATAACGTGTGTCGGTATATGGGGCGCGATAACGTTCAAGGACGGTTCATTTTAAAGTGGAATGATGTGATCCAGTTGGATCACGATTCGATTCCATGGCACAGCTCAGTTCCGGATGTTATGATGCAATTTTGTTTTGTATAACTAACCTTTATTTAATCAGGTAAGTCAATTGAGAAAGTCTCATTTCCATCGATGACCCAGGCAAGAGGCAGTTACATCAAAGTGATAAGCTCAAAAGAAGAAAACCAACATCATGTCAAATGCAAAACATCAAGCGATACACAATCAATGCAGTGATGATTGCTGAGAGTAAATTGATAAACATTAAGTGTGGTGTTCTTTAACAATGATTTGTAAAGAATTTTTTAAAGCAGCAGGAGGGATGAAAGAATTGAGTTCGTACATTTTAAAGGGGAAGTCGATTAAAAGAGGAAAACCTGACGTGATCATCATTCTCTCAGTTTACTGTAAATCCTTTTTTTGTGACGCTTCAGTTTAGTGATGAATTGGTGTAGTGACGTGTACTGGGCTAAGGGGCGGAAATATTTCAGAAACGTTTCCGACTGGTCTCTGTCTGTAATTCTGGGATGTCGCCCCACGGCAGTGACACACGAACTTTGAGGGGTCCTATTGTGTCGCAGCCTGGCCCAACCTTCTTCCAGGCCCTCCTGGTGCAGGAAAGGGAACAGTTGCTTATGATTGCAACGTCCTTCCTCACCTGGGGTTGTACAAATCTGACCTCTTTTGTCTGCGGTTGCTAATGTCCTCCGTTGCTGTGACTTATAATTGCATTTCCTATTTGCTTGCACTGTCTCTCGGTCCCATGGCCTAGCCTGGTAAAGCCATTGAGTCAGGAGGGGAAATACTGTATACTGTATGTACTGTACCCTGAGCAGAGGGCTTCCTCTTGGTGTCAGTCTCAGTGACCTTGACCTTTGGCGCTTTCTGCTGCAGAATTATAATGAGGAAAAGGCTCAGTCGTTTTCTGCTTTTAGACACTTTCCATCACATCCATCAAACCGCAGTCACGAACGTGGCCTGTAATAGCAGCATAATGTATGATGTAATACCTCCAACTTTTTATAGGCTTCAAAAGTAATGTTTTTGGGCTGATGTGTATTTAGGCCATCATGAAAAGAAATACAGAGTTGAATTTATTCCGTGACCATGCTTGTAAATCAAAACAAATCATCTTTCCCCACTGAAATGAATGGAAATGATTTTAATCCGTTACAGCCTTCTCCCCCGAAAGAAAAATATCACTCAATAGTGTTGTCTTCTACAACATACACTAATGGCATCATTAAATAAAATGTAAATAATGAAATTAAAGATTTTTGGACACGATTTCTGTTTTGATTCAATGGACATTGTGTTGCTCCTTCTTGTGTGGCAACCTTGGGGCTGTATAATAACCCATCTACTCATTCAGACATTTGAATATAAATGGAGACGGTCACAGCTCCTCAGTACGAGGCAGTAATATTAGTTGTTCTTTGCAGAGGATAAAGAATAAATAATATTATATAGAAAAAAATTGAGAGGGAAGAATTTCATCATATACAGCACATTTGACAATAAAGTTGTATCCAATCCAATCCAATCCAATAAATGCCTGTGAGTACTGTTACCGTCTCTCCACATGTGTTGCTTCATTGCTTGTTGCTGTTGGTATCCAATCCAATCCAATCCAATAAATGCCTGTGATTTGTTGAATTGAATTGCTTGTTGCTGTTGACCGGGCCAGCCCAAAGAACAATGAAAAAATGGCTCTGATTTATTGTGGCTGTCAAAGTTGCTGGTATAGTCCTTTAAAACCTTGTCTTATTTATCCTTCACTTTCTGGGAAGCTTTCACCACAGGAGGGGTGATGCGCGGAAGATTACCTTTATCCTTCACTTTCTGGGAAGCTTTCACCACAGGCGGGGGATGTGCGGAACATTACTGAGCATCTGCTTGATAATGACACGTAATAGCGCAAAAGCCACAGCATGGGATTTGACTTCTGATGGTTTGCATCGACCCAAGAGACGCACCAGTCACAGCGAGAGAGCTAATCATGTCGAGGATGTTTTCAGCCCCAACAGCAGTTAGGTCATGTGAAAAGACTAATTTAATCCGCGAGACCATTTCCTGGTTGGTAATAGATTGTCTGGACCATTTCAACTCTCTTATTCAATCCATTAGGCTAGGTTGTAATATGATGTGGCGACTCGGGCCTTCCTGTGTGGAGTTGCATTCACTGAAGACTAATTGGCCATAGGTGTGAATGTGAGTTGGAATGGTGGTTTGGTTTAAACATAATTCACTGTACTCTGTGATTGGCAGGCGACCAGCCTAGGGCGTACCCCGTCTGTCGCTGAAACTATGCTGGAATAGCCCCCAGTTCTCTTTAATAAGTCCAAAAGACGACAATTTTAGTGGCGTAAGAAAGGATTAATGGAACTACAGGACTGGATGTGAACTGAAAATGGTTGCAGTTCCTGTCCTCTCCATGTTGGCCCTCTGGCTTATTCTTTGGCGCCATCTAGTGTCCATTGTGACTCAAAAGTTGATACAGTGTATATGCGTCGTCGATCACAACAAAAAACGAAACCATAAAAGTGCAATCCACGGTGCGACAGCAACTTTATGAAAAACATTTTTTTGGCGAACGAGACAATGACAAGAAGTAATTCACGAAGTAATAAATGCTCGATCAGATGAAACCAATGTTGACCTATAATTTCGTATGATCTTGATACAATGGCTTTTGTTTTTTAATACGTCAAAAGTGCTGATTTCCATTTGATATGAGTTTGAATGTGATTGGTTCGTTCTGAACCCAGTTATATCCAGTTCTAAGCGGATGTTCACACTTTTTGCATGATTAAAATAATTGATTAATGAAATCGAAAATATGTATGACAATAATGCAGACATCCGCTGTTGTTTTTACTTGGTAATGACTTTTCTTGTATTTATAATCTATTTAATATGTTATTGCATTTTGTAATTTGTCTAAAATGATGATTAGTCGACTGCAAATGATACGAAGCTTGCAAATGATCGATGTTAAGCTATTTCTGTCAGCGATTTGTGGTGACAGGCAGGCCTAAAATATGCTCTTCCGCTAGATGGCAGATGGTGCAGTTGATCTGTCTATAAACGCCGCGCTTATCACTAAAAATATACTCTGTGTGTATTCAGTGGACTATTGAATTGTTGCAAGGCTTCAATTTTGCTACAATGCTTTCGCATCATTTGTCCATGCAGGCGTGCAACGGTGCCCCCCCCCCCCCACCCCCACACTCTACCGTCATCAGCCAGTCACGATTGGGGCTCCTTCACGTGTCACTTCCATGATCATGACCACCCTCCTTCTCCTCGTCCGTATCACAAGGCTTCCTACTTCGCATGCAATGGTCGTGCATTAACACGTGCATTAAAAAGCACCCCCCCCCCCCGCCCCCCCTCCTAGGATACATGTGAAGCAGCATGCACGCGACGGGTGGCGGAGCGGCTGACACCGATGCTGCAGACAACCAGCACTGTGCGGCGCAAAGGATGGAGCGGACGCCCGTGGGGGAACTGCAGCGTCGGACCGACGACCAGTACCAGCAGCAAGGACCGTCTTCAGCCACGCACGGCGTGCTCGGTAAGTGTCCAAAATAGAAACCATCAAGATGGGCCACGCGTGCTTAAAGTCCAGCTGAGATTAGTCGGAAGCAGGGTGATGCTTCGGGGGACGAAAATAGAGAAGGCGGGTGGTTCGGTTAGCAATGTGATGCAGATGGTGGTACTGAATCGCTCTCAGTGGAACTCGATTTGGTTTAATGAAATGGTGGTTGTCTTAAGTGCGAAATGCTGCAAATGAAACGCTTCAAACGGGCCCATGCCGACTCACTGAGGGTGGGGGTCCACAGGTGCAGCCAGCAGAAAATGTAATACAAATGGAAAGCCTTTAGTGACATTGGATGGTAACAAGGAAATATTCCACAGCTCCAAGTTTCGGTTTATAATTTTGAAAGCTATAAACAAAGACAACACAAAAATGTACGGTGATTAATCATGGCAATCTGTGTACAGTATTTGGTAGCTGGGCCTTCACTTACCAGACTTTTCCTTTTTAATGCCACCAACTATCTTGTCTGCAATGAAAGAAACCAGTAACACCATCATCAATCATGTTCGAAATATGACAGCATTTGACTCAGCATGACCCAAATTTATGATTTTAGTTATACTGTTTGGTGCTCTCTTCCGTCTTTGTTACTGATTTGTTGCTTTACTGTTGTATATGTTAGTTGCTCCATGTACAGCACTTCGTGTGCAGCTATGGCTGTTTGAAAGTGCTCTATAAATACAGTTGAGTTGAGTTGAATTGAGAATCAATATTTATGTAATAATCTGGAAAGGAAAACTGTTAAAATGGATCATACTCACCAAAGATGCTGATTATTAAATGTAGAGGGCTGCCGACTTAACTCGTTTGGATGGCAGAGGCGCCTAACCTGAAATTTGAGGGTTGCATACGGTAAACGACTTGCGAAGTAAATATTTCACGCCACACGTTTTCACCGTATTTCTGCTAAATGGGCTGAAGAGTGGAGCAGACGTTTGTCAGCAACAAAAAATATTCAAGAACGGTAATTCATTCATTCATCTTCCAAACCGCTTCTCCTCACTATCAATTAAACTACCATACATTTTTTATTTTCCCATTTAAAAAGAAATAAATTAATTATAATGTGGGGGAAAAAAGCAACATATGGACCAAGTACGAGAAGGCGCAAATGAAGCAGACTGCTCGCACTTTACTCGTTTGGCCTTCCTGTGTGTTCAGCGTCGTCATTTCTTGTGAGAAGTCATCCTCTTGCCTGAGTTTGTTAAAAGCTGGACGACGACATGAAAGACTGTTTCAATGTTCAGACTTGAAAATGGATTTAGTATAGACAATGCAACTTTACATCTTCCCATCTCCTCTGTAGATAAACTGTTTGGAAAGAGGCTCCTGCAGGCCAGACACTACATATTGTCGAGAAAGTCCTGGCTGAAGATGGTTCCCACGGAAAACTGTGACATCCTGATGACATTCCCAGGTACTGTCAAGCATCTTTGACCAGGTACATTTTGTTATCTTAGAAAATCACACAGCACACCACCAAACCCACAAAATAAATCAATAAAATGTGAAATTACACAACCAAGCAAGTCTTTTTGTGTGTTGCCTACTTTGACGGAAGCACGTCGCAGCCATTTTACTCAGACACCTTGGAACAGTTCTCCTTGAAAAGCAAACTAGGGAGAGAGTCTCTGCCACACAGTGACTGAATTTCCTCTTGAAATGTGGCGAGGTAGCTCCATTTATTCAACCTTGTCTACCACGTTAGCTCACAACCCTGCATAAAACTCGACATCCAAGATTCTGCGTATTCATGCATGGGTTCTCTCTGGCTACACTTTAGCTTCCTAAACACAGTCCTAAATCATGGATGGATATCAATTTAAGTAGAAGGCTTGAACCTGTTCATATGTGTAAATCGTGTTTCTAATTGTCACTACGTGTCATCCCCGCGATCAGTCCAAAGTGTAGCCTGGCTCCAGCTTCCTTATGATCCTGAATAGGAAACGTGTTGGAAAATGGATGGCTTCAACTCCTTTTATACGGACAACAACCTCGACTGGTCACCTGCGTTATCCTCTTGCAGTGTGGCGAGGGAGCTCCATTTATTCAACCTTGTCTACCACATTAGCTCACAACCCTGGCTAACAATCGACATCCAAGATTCTGCGTATTCATGCATGGGTTCTCTCTGGCTACACTTTAGCTTCCTAAACACAGTCCTAAATCATGGATGGATATCAATTTAAGTAGAAGGCTTGAACCTGTTCATATGTGTGAATCGTGTTTCTAATTGTCACTACGTGTCAGCCCTGCGATCAGTCCAAAGTGTAGCCTGGCTCAAGCTTCCTTATAATCCTGAATAGGAAAAGTGTTGGAAAATGGATGGCTTCAACTCCTTTTATACGGACAACAACCTCGACTGGTCACCTGCGTTATTGTAAATAGATCAATGGAATCAAGCCCGGACCAACAATATGGAAAGTCACCAATGTAAAGACAGCCTGTGTATATAAATTAACATGCAAACATGCATGAAAGGGTTAAAAAAAAAAAAAAAAAAGCAGTACCTTTCAGATGGACCACAAAGGTATAAACAATGTTTTTGTTTGTTTGGGTTTTTTTACAGTTGGCTCATTCCGGCTGATACAGCCCCACTAATGGATCAATGTCATATGATAAATGATCTGTCTTATGATTTGCTCTCTTTCTCTAGATTCAGTCGATGACCACACTCTGCTGTGGCTCCTGAATCAGATCCGTGTTGGAATCCCACAAGTCAGTATTCAAGTCCGACAGCATAAACATACGCGGGCTTATGCCTTCTTCATCACCACTACGTTTGAGAAGTAAGACTCTTACAGGAACACTACTGCGTTTTATGTTTGTTGGAAGTGCAAAATATCTTAGTGGTAAACGATCTTACTAAGTGCAGAGCTCTAGTCCATTCTGGGTGCAGTGCTTATTTTTCCCTCCGGTTTCAACCCCGCTGTACTTTTGTCCTCAGTTTACTGCGGGGAGCGGAACAGATGAGCATGCACAAGGCTGTCAAGCCCCAGTTTGGCGGCGGGATGCGACGCTTCTCTTGTGAAGAGGACAACATCTATGAGAACATAGAGAGCGAGCTCTGCTTCTTTACGTCGCAGGTTTGAGATCACAAACGGTGGTGTGATTCGAGCATTGATAGCGTTGTCGTATTGTATTGGTTGAAGTTGGGGAACAGGATGTGGTATTCACAAAAATCGCTCTGAATGGCTGGAAAGCTTGTTTTGATATATAAAATCTGTTTTTTTTTTTTTTTATGCCCTTATGCCATCGTTTTAAAATGAGCGCACAATAATTATTTTGTTTGTATAGATTTGACATCATATCTTATTTACCATATCTGCCAGGTGAAGAAAACACAGAAAACGTGTCTTGAAAGTTTCTTTTGAAAAAGAAAGCCTGAACCCGGTTGTCCTCATCCTTTATTTGTAGGAGCGTCAGAGCATCATCAAGTACTGGCTTGACAACCTGCGAGCTAAACAGGGAGAAGTTCTTCACAACATTCACTTTCTGGAGGGACAACCCATCAGTAAGCTTATTTTTGAACAAACCTAACTTTTTTTGTTTTTGATCTTAGCTCTCCCACGTGCTTTAGATACGTACACGTGTTCAAATTTCGCTTTGTTGCCTAGTTCCAGAGCTGGTGGCCCGTGGTGTGATCCATCAGATGTTTCCTCTCCACGAGCAGAGGATCCTTAATCAGCTGATGACGTCATGGGTCCAGGCTGTTTGTGAAAGGCAACCTTTGGGTAGGTCGCTGGAAATGACCGGCGTGAATGTCGGTAGTTTGATACTGTACATAGGTATAATATTTGCCGCTGTATGTTTTCCTCCCTGGTGCAGATGATATCTGCGACTACTTTGGAGTGAAGATCAGCATGTACTTTGCCTGGCTTGGTTTCTACACCAACTCTATGCTTTACCCTGCAGTCATTGGCTTTCTCCTGTGGATACTTGCAGAAGCTGATCAGGTACCTTAAAGAATTTCATGTAGCATGTGGTTGGCATAGCAACCTGACAGAAAGAAGGCTTGGTTCGGAATGCATGTTTGGGACGTCAAGTCCGGGCATGGTCCTTTTCTGTGTGGAAGTTGGCTTGTTTTCCCTGGACTTGCGTGGCTTTTCTCCAGATTCTACGGCTTCCCCCAATAAGTCTAAAAACACGTAGGTAAAAATGTGTAAAAACTATTATATGGTTTAAAGTTTACATTCCTTGTGTTAAATTCGTGGCTTTTCTCCAGATTCTACGGCTTCCCCCAATAGTCTAAAAACACATAGGTAAAAATGTGTAAAAAACTGGGAATAATGTGGGGCAGGCTGCACTATTATACGGTTTAAAGTTTACATTCCTTGTGTTAAATTCACCCTGATAAGCTGTCCACTGTAGTAACCGCCGTCCCTGAAAGCGTTAAAGAATTAAAGTTTCTTGTTTTGATTTTTCGACTACAATCATAATTTGGTTATTTTGAACAATTTATGCTCATGTGTAATATGTTTCCTGTGTATGTGAATGTTCTTATTTTATATATCCGTCAATGCAGACTTTTTCATTCAAGTCTGTCAAGACTGTAGTTACGGTACAAGTGAGGCAAAAATGTGCACTTGCCCGCAGGTGACAACTCATCTCATCCCAGACATCCAGAGAGCCCAGTTTGAGAAACATTGTAATAAGGGCTTAGAGAAAATGACTCCCATGAATTTTGAAAAGTCATTAGTGACATTCAAGGACAGTATCGGTGCATTTGTCTTTGTCTTGTTTAGACCAGTCAGGACATATGCTGTGTGGTGTTTGCACTCTTCAATGTTGTGTGGGCGACCTTGTTTTTGGAACGCTGGAAGAGACGAGAAGCCGAGCTGGCCTACAGGTGGGGCACCCTTGACACCCCTGCAGAGTCTTTGGAGGAGCCCAGACCACAGTTCAGGGTAAGCATCACTGTTAAATCCAGAAGACTGCACCGCATATTCTTGGACAGGAAATTTGGGGGGGTTTGGAATTCTTTTGTCCTTGTTCTTCTACCTGCAGGGTGTAAAACGTTGTAGTCCCATAACAGGCTGTGAAGAGTTCTACTATCCTCCATGGAAGAGGGCTATGTTCAGATGGCTGGTCAGCCTCCCCATCTGCCTCCTCTGCCTCTGTTTTGTCTTCCTCATCATGCTGCTTTGTCTGGAACTGCAGGTTTGAACCACAAAACACATGAGAAAGCTGGTGTGTATTTGTAGAGTTGCTTTCGACGGGGATAGACGTTCAAATGTCCTGCATAATTCGTGTTCCAAGCTTTCAAAGAACCGTGGGGATTCCATATGCAAATAAAAATGGATAGCGTAGCACCTATTAAGTATGTGTCATGCTAACTGACTTTCCAGGAAGTGGTTATGGAGATTCAGGAGCTACCTAGCATCACAAGATTTATTCCCAAGATTCTGCTGGCTATCACTGTAACAATATGTGATGAGGTTTATAAGAAGATTGCCTATTGGCTCAATGACATGGGTAAGCATCAGTAATGGAGTGGCATTCTTTTTTTTTTTTTTTTTTTTTTACATGGAAATACAGTATTGACACATGATTTATTTTAATGACTCCATCGTTCTGGTTGTTTTTCCAGAAAATTATCGACTTCAGAGTGCCTACGACAATAATCTCATCATCAAGATGGTTTTTGTAAGTCACCCCCGGATTCACATTTAGCTGTAAGGCGAGATTCATTTAAGGGTGACTGACTTCTGTTGTTGTACAGTTTGAATTCATCAATTCTTATCTAAGTCTTTTCTACATTGGATTCTACCTCAAGGATATGGAGCGACTAAAGGAGGTGAGACAAGAATGCTATCATGCTGAATAAAAGCTACGACTAAAATGTGTGTGAGTGGGTGTGTGTGTGTGTGTATGTTAAAACAATGAAACCAAGATAAAACGTTTCAAAACGTAAACTTTTTCCACCAATAATGTGACCTATAATCTGTACAACAATGCCGATTTTTTTTTTTTTTTTCGAGGGGGAAAGTAAAAATAAACAACTCACATCACTGGGATGCGGCTGTGTTCAGAATTAAGGTAATCACATTCGAACGCATGTTAACTGCGACTCAATACACAGCTGCCACATTTTTAAAATGTCTGATGAACACCACATAAATTTCAGCTATTCTAGTCGGCAATGTCTCTTTTTTTTTCTTTTTTAACTTTCTAGCAGGAGCCCTTATGGTTATGCGCTAACGCCGACTGCCATTTCAAACCGTTCATAATTCCCTCCGCCTTGTCTGAGCCCCCCGCCCCGGTTCCAGCTGAAGAAAAAACACAAAGCATGATGCTGCCACCAGCATGTTACACTGTGGGTATCGTGTTCTTTTGGTGTTGCAAATTGGTTAGAGGTCACATTAATAGTCGAAAAGAATTTTGAAATGACAAATGACAAAAACCTGACATTTGAACTTGGGTGTGGAGACTTTTTATATCCACTACATAACATTGCAGTACCAAAAACAAAACTATAAAATTGAAAACAATAATAAAACAGTGACTGTGCAATCTACGAATGAGCTTTCATTCAGTCATGCCATATTCGCGTTATTTTCCCCCTAAGATAGAACATGTTTCACGTTTCTTCACAGATGCTTGCAACACTACTGATTTTCCGTCAGTTCCTCCAGAACATTAAAGAGGTCCTACAGCCTTACCTTTATGAACAAAACAAGCTGGGGGTGTTCACCCCCAAGGTCCTGTGGGAGCTTCTACAAGCCATCATGCTCAAGTATGGCCGCCTGGCTCTGGGAAAGGCCCAAGCGTCAATGACAGCGTACTCTTTCCTGGGCCCCAGAGGACTCCCAGCCAGCGACAGCACCGGCGTGGACAGTCAGCCAAAGACGAGGGGCGATTTGAAAGCTGGATTCAGGCTGACGGAAGAAGAGTGGGATATGAATGACAGCGCCCTGAAGCAACGGAAAGTCAGCTTCACAGAGAAGGTCGACTACCAGGACGTCACAGCGGAAGCGCAGACGGCGGATGACGTCTTCCCTGAGGACAGCCCCACGCTGGTGGAGAACGGAATGGATCCGTCCAGTATTTTTGACAGTTGTGACGACGACAGCGATCTGGAATTACTGTCTCAGGTGAGCTGACTGTATGCCATCTTTTCATTTCCGGTTTCCAAACCTTGCTATTTAGAATTTCCGTTTGAGGATTTATAATGAGTGTAATAAGATTAAATAAAATGTCTAATTATTTGTGGGGTTTCGGGACCAAGCCCTGCCAGAAACTCTGAGTAAATTGTTTAAATGTTTACAACGGCCTACATTAATAGTTTAACTATACAGTAATCCCAAAACACTTAAATATAATTTCAAAATTATTTTACAATGACATTAAAAATAAATGGCTTCCAGATTTTTTTATGAAATAAAAAATTGCTCCAACCCAACATACAAAGATCTCAGTCGATCAGTCAGGATGTATCACTTCAACAGTACTTCCTTGTCACCAATTACTACTTTCCTATTAGCCAGGGCTTTGGCACCATAGTGTGGCATCTTTAGGCGATATATCAATAGCACGAAAACTTGCAAACAGATTCCAGTGAATAACCGAGGATAGGTTCTACAGAACAAAACTGAACTCGGTAAATTTGTCATTAGGTATGTGTTTACTTTATGAAAATGACACTAAGCTTGTTTCAAATATTTTTATTATGGCTTCCTCCAAGAATACCTGAGTGTTATCAAAACCACCTTTATTGGTCAAGTCCCTTAAAACACACAAGGAATTTCTATTTGGTGTCACTCTTGTACTTTGGCCAAAAAGACACGATAACAAAATATAAATTTAGACCATAAATTTACCATGAACAGAGATTTATTAAAAGGTAAAGTATTTATGTCTGCAGTAATACTGATCATCAATGCAAATGATTTGTATTGACAGGACACGAAAGAGAATACCACCGTGTCCTCTTCAAGAGAATCAAACGGTCTCCGTCAGAGAAGAAAAAACATGGATGAGACCAAAGAGGACAAGAAGTCCTGGATTGATCCACCAGAAGAACCCCAAACTGTCACTCTTGCGCAGGCTGAGATCGAAAGCTGTATGCAGACGTATGAGGTAAATTCCAGTGGATTTTTCTGGTTCAGTCAGAATTAACCTTTAAACAGTCGTCTTCTCAATTCAAGTTTATTGATACTGGTACAGCCATGAATTGTCAAAAAGTAGGGAGAAGGCATCCCGTTTCCAGGAGAAGCGGTAGTAAAACAGGCCAAAATCCAGTTTTCCTTCATTTTTCTCTTCATTATGTTGTTCACATTTTAACATCACGAGACCTAAATGACACCTAACAATTTGACCAACAGTAACTTGCCATTGTGATGCTTGAAACGCGATGTTTTCAGAGGGCCTTGGCCGCTGAGCTCAGTGTCACAGTGAGTCATCAGCAAGAGATACATAGAGAGACTGGATAAGTCGCAGAAAGGTATAGAAGTAGACGTATTTGAAAATATATTCGTCCATTCATGGCTCAAACACATGTTGTGAATTTTGCCCTCCAGGTCCTTGCAAGCGAACAGCATGTTGTGCAAAAAGCACTGGAACACTGAACACTTGGACGTGCATTCAAAAGTTTAGAGTTCAAATTCATTTCACCTAATAAGGTCATTGTGCATTTTCGGTTCATGCTAAAATTTCACCCAAAAGCCAGTTGTCACGAGGCAAAACTCAGTTCTGTCATTTTTGTTCACTGCATCAATAACCGAAGTGCTGAACAAAACTGTTACGTAATGCAGGATACTCTTCAGGACTACCAGGAGATGTTCATTCAATTTGGCTACGTGGTGCTCTTCTCCTCTGCCTTTCCTCTGGCCGCCATGTGCGCGCTCATCAACAATATCATCGAGATCCGCAGTGATGCCCTCAAGCTCTGCACGGGCCTGCAGAGGCCCTTTGGCCAAAGGGTGGAGAACATTGGCCAATGGCAGGTCAGTGCGCTTGGCCAAAAAGCCTTCAGGCTGGGAATACTCTACATTTTGGGATCTATGATAGCCTGAGGGGAAAAAAAAATCTGTATTTCTCTCTGAACCCCTAGACTGCAATGGAGGCCATGGGCTTGATAGCCATTATTGTTAACTGTTACCTGATTGGTCAGTGTGGTCAGCTGCAGCGTCTTTTCCCTTGGTTGAGTCCTGAGATGACCGTCGTCTCCATTGTTTTGTTGGAGGTAAGCAATGTCGTCATGCGAGGTGCAGTCTATTATAATAATAATAATAATAATAATAATAATAATAATAATAGTAGCATATTGGTTTGTATAGTGACCTTAAGGGACCCAAGGATGCTTAACAATAACTCATAGATTTTAGTATTCTTGAGTAGTTAATGCATTGTAGTCTGTCTGGGACTACATGCATTTGGCTTTGGTCTCAAGACACTCTGTGAATCAACACTCTTTGAATCAAAACTTTCATTGATTATTTTTCCGTGTCCATAGAATAGAATAATGGTTGTGTGTCTAAATGTGCCCTGCGATTGGCTGCCGACCAGTTTTGGATGCACGCCGCCTCTCGCCCGTCGTCAGCTGGGATGGGCTCCAGCATACCCCCCGACCCGAACGTGGAGAAGCATTATAGAATATGTATGAATGGAGACGATACTTTTATCATCACATCACAAAATTCCTACTCTGCATTTCCCTTTCCCTAAAAAGTTGTAAAATCAAGGAATGTGTGTTTTATTATACGAAATACCTAAATACTCTATATGCATGGTTTTCTGTTTGGTGCTGTGTGTTTATAATCCGGAGTACACACAAAGCCTCACAGAAGTTTTTTTTTTTTTTTTTTTGCTACATAAAGAATAGGATGAAAATATGACATATGGACCTTGTGATGTGTTGAGCGTGTCCCTCTGTGGTCTCGTGGTTTACAGCACTTTGCCATCCTCCTAAAGTACATCATCCATGTTGCCATCCCTGATATCCCCGGTTGGGTAGCAGAAGAGATGGCCAAGCTAGAATACCGACGAAGGGAAGCTTTCAAGGTATAGTTGGGATATAACTTGAAAGACCTTCGACCTTCGCAAGGCTTGCTTCTGACATGAAATGTGATGTCATAATTGTGTCATAATTTTTTGTTTTTGTATGTTATAGTATTTTGTAGCTTCACGTTGAGAGAGATCCAACTGGCATGGCAACACATATACAGGCTGAAGTCTGATTGGACAAAGAAAATCTAACATTCACAAACACATCGTGGGAACACTGTAGCCAAGAGAAACACGACAAAATGAAACTAAATTAATACAATTTATCCATCCATCCATTTTCCGATCCGCTTATCCTCACAAGGGTCGCGGGGGGTGCTGGAGCCTATCCCAGCCGTCTTCGGGCAGCCGTCTTTGTGTGCCCCGTGATTGGCTGGCAACCAGTTCAGGGTGTACCCCACCTACTTCCCAAAGACAGCTGGGATAGGCTCCAGCAGGCCCGCGACACTCGTGAGGATAAGCGGATTAGAAAATGGATGGATGAATAGGTTGTAAATATGTAGATCAGTGTGTCCAGGAGCCGATTTAAACCATATAATAAAACTGAGCCTCTTCACTTATCACCTCCCATTCAGAGGCATGAACTGCAGGCGCAGCAACATTTCCAACAACAGCTCAGACGTCGCCGCGAGGAAGAGGAACTTCAGCGTCAGGCGGAGGCGCGTCAGGAGAGCGAGTGCCACAAGTCGGACGCCCATCACCAGCATCACCATGAGAAAGCGGTGGGCGGCAAGCCCAAAAGACCCAGCTCCCTACTCGGGAACAACAACGTGATGAAGCTGAAGCAGATCATCCCCCTTCAGGGTAAGTTCTCCTCCAGTAGCTCCCGCTCCCCGGCTCAGTCGCCCACTGGGGGAGAAGCGAAGCTTCCAGGATTCCTCAAGTTTTTAAAGTCGACAGAGGTGAAAAAAGAACCCGCTACAGCTGCGGGATCACCCGGATCGACGGGGAGCTCTTCGGCCACCGGTGGTGGCCAGGAACGAAATCAGTCGCCCAACAGGACATTCAGTCCGGGTAAGCTGTTCAGTTTCAGCAAGTCGGAGGGAACCGTGGTGTATGCTAACGGGATGCAGCCTCCCAGCCAGGCGGACAGTTATCATACCAACAGGGCTGAGCTCAACTCAACTCATGAAGAATTACCGTCAAATGAGTCTGATAAAGGAGAGGTTGACTTAGAAAGCTCAGGCTCTAAGAATTCATAAACTTTCCAGTGTAAAAAAACAAACAAAAAAAAAAAACAATAAATGAAATGCATTATTTGCAATGTCAGTGAGTATGTTAAATCCTAAAACAGACACCTGCACAGTAGTGACACATGTCAAGTCTGGCCTATGGAAAGCCGTTTATTCGAAAGCCGTAAAGTTTATTTACAGTGAATCCATGCGTATTCACAGTTGGGCATTCACAAATATTTTGAGGGTGAATATGTGTTGGTGTGGTGCCAACTTTTGGCAACTTTAGGCTTAAAATTATATTTAAGTTCAAGGAGGATTTTCATTTAGCGCAGGTCAGAGTCTTGCTCAGTAAAAAAAAAAAAGAGCTTTGCCGGCAGCTTTTGGGGGGGATTTTGTTCCAAGCTTCGCAGAATTGTTTTACCTCAGTAACAGTGGAAGGTATAAGAGCATAAACTGCCCATTTGAAGTCATGCTACACCACCTCAATTGATTTTAAGTCCCACCTTTGACTTGGCAACTCCAAAACCTGAAGAGGTGGACTGGCTTGTATTTTTTTTTTTTCGGGTAGTTGCTCTGTCTCACACCCCTAGAGTGCTTGAGCGACAGGGCACAAACGTTCCCCTGCAGGATTTTCTGGTAGACAGCAGACCATTTTCTTGCATTAATCATAACATATCGTCCAGGTCCTGAAGTCGTAAAGCACCAGACCATCACCCTGTCACCACCTCGTTTGGTTGATGTTCGTTTTATCAAATGCTGTTATTTTTATGCCAGTTATAACACACGTAGCACACACTCTTACTACTGTGTTGAATTGTCGTACCAAGTGAGGACAAAGAACATACTAGTACATGGATTTTAAATGCTCAAATGGCTTTTCATACTGGCTGAACACATGTGAGGTCAACAGATAAATGCACCTTACTTTGCACAAAATATCCAACTATGTACAAGTTCTTACAGCTTCCATGTAAATACATGTGCTGTACAGTGAATGTGATTCTTTGAATGAATCTTTTTCTTTCGAGATATAACTGTTGCATGACTCAAGTCACATTCCAGGTTTGATTCTCCTTTTCAAGCCTGCATTGAATGCATCCTGCGCATGAGTCACCTGTTCATGATGTGTTCTTTAGCACTTTATAAAAAATAAGCCAACATATTCTTCTGCAATAGCTCACATTCTAGTCACTGTGACCATGAAAAGTCTTATATTTTTCTCAAATTTGATTTGATTTCTTTTTTTTAATGAATTATTTTGTTACATGGATTCGTGAATGTATTCCTGATGCAAATGAATACCACTTGAATCAAGTCAAAGGCATATGCGTTTACACTTAATAAACAATACAGATTAACAAAAAAAGGGAAAAAAACTAACATGGGTTGATTAGTGAATTTGGATATGTGTTGACCAAGAAGTATGAAACTCGGAAGCCTTTTATGAATATGATTTATTTTGATATGGTGGAAATACAGTAGATGGAAACTCTAAAATGAAAAGTAACTTTCTGCAGAGTGTGACTGAAAAATCGTCATTCCTCTCTCTGTTGTGGTAATGTTCCAAGGAAGCCCCGAGTCCGCGCCTTCCACGCCTCCCTGCAGTTAATCATCTTCCCGCTGTTCAATGTTAACATCTGGAAAGAAAATCGTAATAAGCCACATTTTTTAAAAAAATAAAAAAAGATTCAACTGAATGATAGTACAGCCATTCAGTGATTCTATCAGGTCATGATGGACTTACCTTGCAAATTTCACAAAATTGTGAGCGGGTGTAAATACTGTCTTGGATAATGACTAAAGACAATCAAAAAGACAAAATTGTGTGAGAAATAGCCAAAAGGCACAAGTAAGTGTTGTACATACAGCACATTTGACAATAAAGTTGTACTTGATACTTGATAAGGTTTTGTCACAGAACTTGACATCAACAAGACAGTGAAGTTTGATCCCAGTCAAATGCACTCACTCTGCTTTGATGGATAATCCTGGGTTGGAATATAGACAGCAAACTGATGATTCTACAAAACAAAAAAACACTTCAGTAATTACATCAAAGCAAAAATTACATTGCTCTACAAATTGTTGGGCACAAATGACTTCAAATGATCCACAACTTTTGAACTCAAAAATACAACATAAGAGGACCCTACCACTCCCGTAACATACAGTTAGATATACCCACAAGCAGGCCTGTGCCCGACACACACACACACACACACACACACACACACGCACACACACACACAGACACACACACACACACACAAAACATGCACCAAGACCCTGATGTTATAAATGACAAGGCAAGGCTGGACATGCGCCATTGCTCGACATTCTGCCCATGCTGAATGGACGTTAGAATTGCCATTTCGGCCATTTTCGTCGAACAGTTCAGTCATGCGTTTAGCTCCACCCACATTTAGTCCCACTCCGGTTTTTAGTCAGGTGCAATTGAAAAAAAATTGAGAATTTAAAAGGTCAAAAAAAAAGAAGTTTACTGCGAGAGCAGTCCTCAGTCTCTGCACATGTTTTGAACAATTATATTCAAACATGTTTCATGTAGTTTGAAACAAATCTTTGAATTCACTTCACAGGTCTTTAACACCCAGCCTGTGGGCACTGTGGCGTCAATTTCACTCGACCGCAAGTGGCAGTAGAGGACAAAATGGGTTGATTTTTCTACTTAATTCTTATTCCACAAGTGCAATGTCGATCATAATACCATGTTTAGACTAGTGGTGAGACATAGAACATATTGTAGAGAAAATATTTAATTTGACTTCCGCCTTGAAATGCTCGTTCACGAAATAGGATATGGTACAATGAATTAGCCAAACCCAATTGACGTTTTTGTTTAGTAGTGTGCCGTGAGATTTTTCTCATATAGCTCAATAAAGGTTGGGAAACATTGACCCTAGAGCTAATTTACTTACAGAGTCTGCCTGAAACTTGCCGAAGTTGTTTTTGTCAAAGACGGGAAGCTCCTTCAAGAAATCCATCTGGAAACGTGACTCTTAGATCAAACGAGTTGATGTAGTCGTGAAAAATTAACAATACAGTAGTCAGTGCCCAGTGTGTGTATATATTGTAGCTGCTTAAAAATGCTTAGGAAAGGCAACATTAAACCTTGCTTCGATATAACGCCCCTCTGTCTTTGATGTGAACGTAACATGAAAGAATAGCGGCAAAAGTTGAAAGAGTCGTCAAATAACGTCATCTTGACTAATTTAGATGGGAGGTTTCATTCATTTTATTATCAAAGGGAGTGGGGGGGGGGTGTTTCAAAAGGCAAAAGTCGCCACACAACGCACGTTTTCATCCTAAAACTCGTTAGCTTAATAAGTAGGAACACAAAGAATACTATGGTCTTGCATTGAAATTTAATGAACAAAAATACACACCGATATAAAGTAATTACTTGAGGACAACAGTGTCATTTTGGATTAGTCCGCCTTTTTTTTTTCTTTTTCTAACTTTAATGACAAGACAACTGATAGTCTGACGAAGGCTTGAAAATACTTTTGGATGACTTTTCACATCATTCAACATATTTTACATGTAACCTTTAGTTATTTTCAATTCGACGAAGATGTTTATTTAAATCTCGCGAGATCATCGAGGGAAAGCCACCGGTTTCAGTGTGGAGACAGGAAAAACAGCCACGCGAAAATTACACCGATCAACAAATGTTGACAACATTTTTTTAATTCAGAGATCCAAGGAAACATTTGAGGATTATTTCCTTTCAGATATTTTTTTCTCTAGCACATCAGGTTTTCATTAAAAACAATATGTAACACATTCAGTTATTTCATACCTACAAATTGCAACAGAGTAAAATCTGTTTTGTGCAAGTTTTTATAGATGCAAATATCTCAAAAAGGAAAAAAAGTAGATTTTTTAAGCAGGCAAGACAAAATAATTAAACATAAGATTGATGTGAACTCTCAAAGTACAGTATTGTTTACAACTTTAACTGACTTAATGTTATGTTGAAATAACAGATTTTGTCAAATTTGTTCATATGTGTGGCAGCTTAGTCGACTAGAATTTAGATTGTAAACACTAGTCTAAACTTCTAAACCTTAGAAGCTGCATTATCACGTCTGCATCGCAGTGACGTCCTCAGTTTGAATGTCAGCTCCAGGGTTCCCGTGTGGTGTTGGAAGAAATAACTGAATTGCCACAAAGTGATTGAGAGTAATTTAATAAATCATTCATTCATACTTGGTGAAAGAAACGACTTACAGTACTTCTCAAGGCAACTGCCACTCGTTTTCTGAAGGCCAGTTTCAATGCCCCCCACCCATCACCGATGGAATGACCAAGCCACACAATACACAAGTTCTTAAGGGCTTGCTAACACCTCCAGAATTACAGAACAAGATAGTCTCCGAAGTCCTGCTCTCCAACACGTTCAGTGCGAGAGCGATTTGCGTCCCTTCAACATTCGCCGCAGGATCACTTCAATTCCACCTTGTGTGCTCAGCCTCTTGATCCACCCGTGGGTCCTCTTGCGTTTCAGATTTTTGGGCTGATACTCGGTTCCTCTTTTCTTTGTCCGCACCTGCTGGCATTGCCACGGAAACTGCCGGAAGATTCCAGCGCCCTCAGCTTGGGAAGAAAGCGGTCCGCTTGCAGACATCTGCTGATCTGCAGCAGCTCTGGGGATAAGCCAGTTGCTAAACAATCGGAGGTGAGACTTCCCATTTACTGCTGGCATGCTAGCGGAGGTAAAAGAAGAAAATACAGTACTGTCAAGATTCTTCATCATCAACACAATTTTATCATTTTCTTGTGGAATAAATAAGTGGCAGTACATTAGTCAACGGCAAATTTTAATCAGAGATGGCTTTGTGTGTTTGTAAATGTATTTTCCGAGGCTGATTTCGACAACGTCTTGACATTTTTTTTTCTAGAACATCAGGATTTATAGTTATTTTTGATATACAGTATTTTGGTTTTGAGTTTAAAATCCATTTGACCAAAATTATGATTCCATCTGTTAATAGCAAGATTTTTTAAGTTGTTTACATGGGTTTCAGTTGGCCGAAGTGGTCATGTTAGAGACAAGAGGGGCATTTTTTTAATACAGTGAGTATATAATCAATATATTTTAAGACTGAGAAATATGCACAATCGGAACAAGATACTTAGCAAATCTCCGAACATGGTTCCAAAAAAGGAAAACAAGGTGGACATAAATGGCAAGCGGTGTCGAACTGCACTGCTGTAAATCTTAATGTTTTATGAAAAATTGGTCACCTTACTTCCCGAAAGCATTTTGCCCAAACATCGATTCCACAGCGTCAAAAAGCAAGGCTGCGAGAATCAAACTACGCTTCTTCGTCAAAGTAATAGGTCGACATGCTCCATTTACAGGAAAGAAATGGGGTGCTTTATTACCTGTTTAGATTGGTTATTCCGCGCAAACGCAAAAAAGATGTGAGTATAATATTCATTTTGATAAGTTAGCAAGATTGCAGAGGCATGTGAACGTTGAATGTCACGGCTCTTCTTCTACATACGCAGTGTAGTTGCAGACGTGAGTATTCAAGTTAGTGGTGAAATGGCGCCGCCTGCAGCTCCGGAGATGCTACGGCATAAACAACATCTGATCTGCAACCAGCCTTTGTAATTGTGTGTGCAGTATATACTGTGGTGACATTAACGAAGTAAACATTACATTGCTTAATGCGATATTTGATTTGTTCCTACTAAGTTCCTTCGTGCCAGGTTATCAAAAAGGATATTGTAAAAACTGACAGTAGAAATGTGTTTTTAATTTTGTGGTTAAGTGCGTTTAAAAGTATGTAATAAAGAAAGGATTTTAATCAGTACTCCTATTTTGCTAAAATATTTATTACACATATCATATTTCAATCTAAATCCTGAATATGAGCATATGTTATGAGTACTTTTGTCAGCTCTTAATGACTAGAATTAGTGGCGATAGTTACACTTTTACTAGATAGTTTCTTTTTACACAAAGTGTCTATACTAATCCCATAAATTCACATATTGGGTAATTCTGCCATCTCTGAGCAAAGTACAGATATATGAAAAATCTACTTAATAACAGCAACGAAGTATTTACATCCCACCACTGGAGTTGACGCATCGTAGGAAGACCAACGAAGCCGACACTTCCCAATCTAATGGTCATTGAAGTGCAGCAGATTTAAAAAAAATAAAAATAAATACAGACACACGAGATACTCGTTTCGAATCAACCAAGCGTTCATTTGTAGAATGAGCAAACCACAAGTCTCATGGCGGCTTTGCTTACTCCTCCAAGTCGTTTTCCGTGACTTGCAGCCAAGCGGAAGAAAGGTTGCCCTGCTTTTGCCAAGCCTTGGCAACAAGAACAAATCGCCCTCCCATTGGACCAGCTGAGCATATGACTCGATCTTATCGGCTCTTTTTGCTGCCTGTCAGGAGGGAAGCCGGCCCTGCGCAGAGAGGGGCAATTGAGCTGGGTGGTACTTCTGCCTTGGTGCGCAGTGACTGATGCTGAGAAAGGGGAAGAAAAAAAAAACATTGCCATTTTTATTATTATTATTATTATTTCGTGATGAGCATTTACCACAATTCAAATTGTGCATTTTTATGCATGCACGATATATGATCCTTTCGAATCATTTTCGAGGCGTCTCAGAATGCTGATGGGATTTTGACTGTTTTGCAGCATCAAATGCATGGTTTTGTCGGCCCTCGGCGGTCATCTGGTTGACTTCCAAACACCTTCATCAATCTGAGCAGCAGGTAAGAACATAGCATATGATATATTCTAACCTGCAGTATTATATGGTGCTTTCTTCTGTGCAGTAAGTCATTTGCAACAATAAACAGTACATGCACCCGCTCTGTAGTGACGCAAAAAAAAAAAAAAAAAAAAAAAAAAAAAAAAACTATGAATCAATCATTTAAAAAATAATTCGCCCTGCACGCTGTGATGTGGAATTTGTCCTTTTCGTCTTTATCATGTACAGTGCAATCATGAAATAAACTCAATTCAATGCGTTGATTGTATGCGGTTAAGAGACGCGGCGCCGTTGTTGTTGAGTCATCACAGATATGCACGTTTAACAGGATTGTTGCAAGATTTATTGGCATCAGGAAAAAGTCAATTAACGTTACGCATAACTGAAAATGCAAACATTTGGTGCCAAACCGCGCCAGGCTGCAACATATGTGTCCATCCACGCTGTAGGGATAATTAAAAAAAAAAAAAAAAAGCAGCACACGGTGTACCAACAGGCAGACGAATCAACCTAAATATTCTGCAGTGCAGACAGGACATCTTTCAGTCTGTTTGTTTGGAGGGTTGATGAGTGGGATTTATCGAGAGTAGGTCAGCAGGGTAGTTGCACTGAAACGGCATTTTGATGCCTGTGAGGTACATTTTTGAGGTGATATAATGTTAGACATTGCAGCCAGTGATGATCTCGAATGTTGGACATTCTCTTGTCTTTTCCACACTCTTTCCTCCTGGCTTGCTTTGACTTGGTGAATGAGCGCAGTGACACTCGTTGGTATGGAAAAACGATTGCAGCAAAATAAGTTAAACATCAAAATACCTGGTGAAATTGATGTGTTTAATTTGGTTTTATGTTTTGTATGTTATTGGATAGATATGGATTGTGAACCACTCCAGATGTGTACAGTAGCACAGTTGCACGCTGTTACATTGCGGTTTTGTTTCGTATTGATGGTTACAATAATTTTGATGTTATTGTGGCGGTATAAGATCTACATTCATTCAGGTAAGACCCCACTGAAGGTTTTAGGTACTAAACGTCCAGCCTGTCCTTCATGCTTTCTTACATCTGAAACGTAATGTCCAAATTGGTTTCAAGTAGAGTATCTATTCAATTCATCATGAGTATACAAAATGAAATGCCAATTTAATCACATTTTGTGTCTTATGCAGAGGTTAGTTTCAATAAGAGGGTTCCCTTAGAACTGTCTTTTACTCAATTGGTTACCTGGAAACGAAAGAAGACTCTTCTCACTGTTTCCTAGAGACAAAGAGTATGCTTATGTAATATATGAAAGCAACGTCTTACTTGCTTGTGTATCTTCACATATCAAGTTCCATCCAGTAAGATTTTTGTCTCTCCTCATCAGCGGAAAGAAGTGGGAAGTTTTTAACTTATTGTGTTATCATGCATGGCCGTTGAATGGCATTTCCAATCTATTGCTGTCGGCTAAAATTATAAGGGACAATGCGTGTTTCTTTTTTGAAGGCATGATTGCGACACTTGGTCACATTTCGGATAGACAGTCCTCCATTTATTATCTTAATATCACGATGCACCATGTACTGTATGCGGTCCCACGGATGGGTTTTTACTGCCTTTGTTTCTGTTCTATATTTTTCAAGAAAAATCACGTGCAGTTTGTTATTTATGCAGGAAGTCACCATGCTGACCACTATCACAGAAGGAATACTTTGCTGCCTAACTGGAAAGGCCGCTCGTCTAGTTTTGCCATTGGAGTCCACGGTGCCCTCCGATGGTTTTGAGTTTGTGGAGGTGAAACCCGGACGAGTCCTGCGAGTGCGTCACATCGTTCCCGAGCGTCAGCCTGTCGAAAGCGACGATCACGTCGCGGCCCAGGAGCGGAAAGACGCTGATCACGACGTGCCTAAAAATGACACCGACACTGGCAGCGGTGTCCACTGCAAGAGGAAGATCACGGTGTATCGCAACGGCCAGCTGGTGATTGAGAACCTTGGCGATGTTTTGCACTCTGAGATTCTTCAGTGTCAGGATGGCGATCTGGAGCCGTGCAGTACCGTCGAGGTGGAACTGGCTGACTACAAAGAATTGGCCTCTTCTCCGGATCCCAACCCCGTCCCCCCTCCTGTTCTTCCGCCTCCTGGTGAGCAAAAGCCCGCCCCGCCTCCTCGCCGCCGACGCCGGAAGCCCAAGCGCACCGTGCTGATCGACTCCAAGAGGGTGATCTCAAGCTGCAAAGGGACGCACTCGGATGTGGCGCTGTTCTTTGTGCACGGTGTCGGAGGCTCGTTGGACATATGGAGCAGCCAACTGGACTTCTTCTCGAGGCTGGGCTATGAGGTCATCGCGCCGGACCTGGCGGGGCACGGAGCCAGCACGGCCCCGCAGATTGCAGCGGCGTACACTTTTTACGCCCTGGCGGAGGACCTGCGCGCCATCTTCAAGAGATATGCCCGGAAACGCAACATTCTAATTGGCCACTCTTATGGGTGAGTACTGACATGATTTTAGTGAAGCCTGAATATGTGAAAATCCAAGCCATACTGTGTAGAGCAGTGGTTCTCAAACTTTTTACAAGTCCCGCCTCTAGTAATACTTGGCTCTCCAAGTACCACCTCCATAACCAACATTAGAATACAGCTGTATAGTAGGCCCAGGTGCTCACACACAATATAACCGAAACACTCTTGGATGTCCTCAAATACTTCCTGAATGTTGACTAAATACTCTTAAAAATACTGAAATCCTCAATCAATGGAAGCCCAGTTAAAATGAATCTTTGACGTCTATAGCCGTCAATGGCAGCGAAGGAGCTAAAAGTTAGCTAAATGCTCTTAGATTTATGAAAAACTCCCCAAAGGTTACACAAATACTATTAAAATCTACTAAATAATTGCTGGAATTCACCTAGATCAGCGGTCGGCAACCTTTGACACCGAAAGAGCCATTTGAACCCGGTTTCCACGGAAAAGAAAACACTGGGAGCCGCACATCTAAAATGAAAAAAAAAAAACTTCTACTACTTTACCACAGCATGTTTCTTATGAAATCCACGTGCTACACCTAGATCATCCCAATTTTTCAAAATACTCATAAAATATACAAAAATCCGTAAAAAACTACCGAAATACACTTAAAACCTCCTAAATACTCCCTAAGTTGCCTTGGAAAAGTTTGAAAACTGATCTTAACTGCTCCATAAAATAAAGCCTTGCAAAAGGTGTCTGACCTCCTAAAAGTGATTGCTTAGTTTAATTTCAAACCAGGTCATTTTCGTCGCTAACATTTTGACGCTACGTTTTACAGAGTGTCGTTCTGCACATTCCTGGCCCACGAATATCCTGACCTGGTCCACAAAGTGGTTATGATCAACGGAGGTGGTCCCACCGCCTTGGAGCCCAGCCTCTGTTCCATCTTCCAACTGCCATCGTGCGTCCTCCATTGTCTCTCCCCATGCTTGGCCTGGAGTTTCCTCAAGTAAGTTCGCCGGCACCAAAATTAGACAAGAAACAAAGTGGGGATGTGAAAGAAATATATTTTGACACATAAAGTGTCACTTCTGAAGTTTACATTGAATCGCATATTCCGGTCACGTATATACAATACCTGGTGCAAACGCCGCATTCATATTTGCCTGGTCACCAAGTCTAATTCCGATTCTCTTATTTTCTTTTCTCAAAATCCAGAGCTGGATTTGCCCATCAGGGTGCCAAAGAGAAGCAGCTGTTGAAGCAGGGCAACGCCTTCAACGTGTCTCCATTCGTACTGCGCGCCATGATGAGCGGCCAATACTGGCCTGAGGGCGATGAGGTCTACCATGCTGAGCTCACAGTACCCATCCTTCTGGTTCACGGCATGTGTGACAAGTTTGTACCCATGGATGAAGACCAACGCATGGCAGAGGTAAATTGCGTCCGCACACCGGGTGAACCTCAAATACAACAGCTGATATAGGCTCCAGCACCCCCCCCATGACCCTTGTGAGGATAAAGCAGATCAGGAAATGAATGAATGAATGAATGACTTAATTCCTGACATTCATCTTGCCTCCCTGTTTTTAGATCCTCCTATTTGCTTTCCTAAAAGTCATCGAGGAAGGAAGTCACATGGTGATGATGGAGTGTCCCGACACTGTCAACACCCTCCTTCACGAGTTCTTTCTATGGGAGCCCGACGTGTCCAAAAAAGTCTGCAGCAAGACAGACAGCGAGAAGTGCGTCGCATTCAGTGACGCTCTCCACACGCTGAGAATCAGCAAGACCGCAGACAAATAACCGACAAGGATTCGGGGGCGGGGGGTTCTTGTCAAGGAATTAGGCAGACGGCCCTTTTTTGTGGCTGTTGTCAAGATGTTCTTCAGGCTGCTTCTGGGCTGAGAGCTGTTACATAAAAAAGGCCACGTCTCAAGGATGAGGGCGGCCGCTGGTGCTCGAAGATAAAGATGGAATACTGGCACGCAGCCAAGCCAGAGAACAATGGATGGGCATAAAAGACGAGAGGAACTGATGCAAATACAAAGTCGTGCGTTTTTATTTCGTCCTATTTTTATGCGCACAACTGGAGGTCACGAAAAGGTGTGTGGTGTTTCTCGGAAAACAACGACAACGCGCAAAAGTCGGGAAACGTGTGGATTTCCTTGCTTGCGTCTTTTATATTGTGTGAAACGCTGCAGATGCGAAGATTTACACGTTCAAAATTGGTCCAGTGGAAATCCTGGATGGACGGTTGTGGGATGCGATAGAAATTATGCAAAGTTTCCTTATAGTACGGACATACCCAGACATACTGTATATTCGATCTCATATACTGCACATTGTATTCTATTTTTGACGAAGGTTCAACGAGCTGTTGCTGTTTAAATTGGTCTCATTTCCACAGATTGTCCACAAATCGCTGTCGGACGGAAATCATTGTCTAAATTTGGTCAGGTTCATATTTTTGCAGAAATGGATACCATTGGTCAGCCCCACGTGGGTCTGCTATTTTTACAAGTTAACAGGAAAAATGATGGTTTTGCGAGGATTCCGCCCGGCAACCAAAAGACTGTGTGTCTATATGTTATCGACCACATAGTTGCATGAATATATAGAACATGCTGTATATAAAGAATATAAGCAAATGAATTTCTTCAGTATTTTATATTATACAATATCCAAAGGAAAATGTTGAGGCGCTGCATTTGTGCGTCTTACCCTGTGCATTTTGCTGTCTCTCTCTGTATCTGCAATGAGATCAAATGTTGTTCAATTCACTCCATTTTTTTTCGTCAAGTGGTTGCACGAAATAAATCATTTGGATCCCGATAATTATTTTTTTTTTTTACCACTTTTTTTCTACTTAAATTGAGTGAATTCAGCACACCATTTTTTTTTTTTTTTACAGTTTATACAGTGGTGCCTTGAGAGCCGAGTGACCTGACTTAAGAGTTTTTCAAGATGCAAGCCGCCTTTCGGACGATTTGTGGTGGCTCTGAACTTAAGTCATTTAGCATCAAGTATCAATTTGGCAGATAGTAAACAATTCGTCAAAAAAGAGACCTCGTGCCACTTATTGCCACTCCCTGTTGAATTCGACTGTCAAACTAAACATATAACAAAGAGGATTACACTTTGTGCATTTAACAATCACACAAACCTGATAGCTTAATGCTAACACATAATGGGAAATGCCATAAATGGGCTAACGAAATGCATCTAAGTGGCGGGTATATAACAAACACTTTGCATCATGGATACTTAAACTCAAATGCTGCATGCACGCATTTAAACAGGCAACAACAATAACATATAACAATAGTCACGGGCACACATTCTTTATCCTCTGCAAAACACGACTCATGCAACTGGCATTTACAGAAGTAGTGAAATTGTTATTCGTTTGTGTCTGCGCAACTGTATTTCACTGCCCCTAGTGGCCGAACTGCACCCGCAGAAAGAGTTGTGATGATTCAGCAAAGCGGCACAAACTGTCATTCTTGAAATTTGACTACATAATGTGATTATCATTTGCTCTTATAAAATAAAATGTTATACATTGCTCTTTTCCCTCATTACAAAACACATTACAAAGATGGGCATGGTCACGGAACAAATGAAACTCGTCTCTCAAGGAATCACTGTGCTTCGGAATTTCATTCTGAAATTCCACAAGCTGCTCTCGCCTAACACAATCATTTGCAATCGTAACTACTCGTGTCTTTTCGCGGACTCATGCAAACTCCCGTCCGCCCGCTTGATGGCGAGAAGAAAGAATGAGCTCAGCCTTTCGCTCACTCTGAGACATTCATTCATGGGTGTTGACTTGTCTCATAGTGGGACAGTAAAGTACAAGTTAAAGCACAGTCCCTTTTATGATCTCTGTTGACAGTGGGTTATCACGGATGGCGAAATGGTGGTTTTGAAACTGGTTGTACAGTGCTTCAAATCAAATAGGAGTCAAGCAAAACTAATTTGGCTTCTCTTGGAAAGAGGGATTCGCACAATGCCGGTCTGTTATACAGTACGGTGCATTTGGTCACACAGTGGATGCTACAAGAATAGTTTTATGCAACTTGAGCAAAGTGGAAATGAGAGGAACTGAAATGGATGCCAATACGTATTATTTAATCCCTATGGACCCTCCCCCCTCCAAACCAACAATGCTACTGATGTAATGTTGTGTGCAAAAAGGCTATTATGATGTTAAGGGTGATTAAAACCATATGGACTACAGGGTGCACATGTATTTCCTCCCCTGCTACATGCGTGCATACTCATTGTCAGTGATTCAGTGTGCTATATCTTCTTGTGATTAACAAAATGTGCTCATGTTATTATTGCATTTATTCATGGGGATCATAAGATATGCACTGCTTGAATTTGGATACATATGACAACATATGCTGTCGTCAGTTCACACTGTTGGAGTCACGCTGTATGAATGTGCCTTTTATGGCATGAAATAAAACTGATGTTCACAGTCTTGGGGTGTTTCTGTGACTTTTCTTTTGGGAAGTAGTGATTCATTAACAGACAGACAGAAAGATAGATAGACCGAACAATATGTAGAGTGAATGGATGCTACAGCTTCTTGTTGCTTTCAAGCTTAGCTTGTAGCAGACGTGTGCACATTGCAGCATGACGTCTTTGATCCACTGGTGAAAAGGACACTTTGATTCGCTCCTCTTTCATCTATAACTGCTTCAGTGTATGCAGGAAAGGGGTTAAGATTGCACGATTGTCTGTGTCTAATGTGTTGTCTTGTATTATTTTGTCATTTTTTTGTTCACTTTTCTTTTGATGGCGGCGAGGACACCCGCAGCGGCTCCTCTTGTTTTATGTTGAGAGGGAAGAAATTTCATCTGTGCTGTACACATACAGCACATTTGACAATAAAGTTGTATTCAATTCAATTCAACAAACACGCAAAAATCAATGAAGTCAGTGCTGTAATTATATATTGTTTGTATTTTCTAATTAAATTAGTAAACTGCTGCATAAGAGCTTTCTCTATAATATTTGAGTATTTTTCAAGATTTTGGGGCGGCATCCTGTATCCCACCTAACGAGATCAACCCCTGCATTGAACCGTCGCTAAATCCCATCTCCACATTCAGAACCAAAACAAGAACAACTAAAACAGCTGACCAATTTTAAAAATAGCTACTTGAGGATCATTAATGTGATATGTTCATAAATAAAACCTTGGCGTGGAGCAGAAAGTGGAAGAAACAATTTTTGCTTTTAAAATTGAATTGTCTTTATTCACAGTATTTTGAAGCGCAACTGTGTTATTTTAGTCGTAAATAGCTCCAGTATATGAACCTACATTTTTTACTAGCCGTGTCAAAAGTCAGTTTTAGTATATGCCGGGGGGCCACAGAAAATGTGTTTGTAGATAGTCATAAGATGTAGATTTTCGCTATTCGCGAGAATAGCGGGGGTTAACTGTAGTTTGAATTGCTTATTAGGTTATCTCCGAACACAGCCACAGCTCTAAAAAAAGAGACAACGTTCTGATATTCGTGAAATCGTGATTATCGTGAAATATAGAGAGCAAGTAGCGCACAGAGCAGGAATTGTTTTTCAGTGCGAGGCGTTGGTATCGCCGTCCTCCGTGCTCTGATTGGCTGAACGTCACCCGTGCGTAATGTGGTAACAACATTGGAGGTGCGTGCGTCTTGCGTCTGTGTCTGAGGTAATGGAGGTTCGTGTTGTACTTAGGTCCTTCTCAGTTGCCAAACTGGTCACTCGCTTTTATGTGTATTGCTGATTACGGAAGATAAACATCATCGGTGACGATTGTTTTGTCCGCGGGGAGTAAGAAGTGAGTAACCAAACGTCGCGTCTGCTCTCGGCTTTATTCGAATCGTGAAGCTTGTGAAGTCGAAATGTTCATCTGTTAGCTTTCGTAGCCCTGAACCGCTACAACGACAGCTAACGCCTGCGCTTGCATTGGGGCGTCGTTTAATTCCTGGAACGCTCGTGCATTATTGAAGAATAAAAATACCAAATCAATAAAATAGCGCTTAGGGCGTAGGATAGCTTTCACCTGACATTTATTCAACACATCTTATCAGAACGACCAGACATTTTGTTTGCCATGTCCGCCCAGTCTTCTGTGTAAATGTAATATCACTGGGAGGGAATAGTCTTGCGGGAATTAGTCGTATCCCATGTAAGGTGTCAACTATCTAGCTGTTTTGTGAACGCATTGCGAATTAATATATTGCAGCAATAGCTCTTGCTAATGTGGGATGCGCTGAAATAACAGGGAAAATAAATGTTCATTGCTGTCGGGAGACAATCTTATTGCAATACGTAAGGCTAATGCTCGGGCGCATTAGCATCCGATCTGACGCTAGCCAAGTGGTCGGGTCGAGTTAAAGAGACGATGGACTCGAACCAATCAGCGACAGACGAAGTGTTAGCATCTCCTTAATAATAATTCGAATATTATAATGGTATTATTAATCGTAATAATGATTATTTATACGGTGCTTTTCAGGGGCCCAGACGCCGGTATTGGCACTGTTTTTAATTTGCGACTAGTACATTTAATTTCTGAAGCACGGGGAAAATATAGTTAATACAAAAAAGTGTTAGTGGCATTCCTTGCTAAACAAATCCAGACCCCCTCCTAAAATTTGAGCCAGTGCAAGTTCATTTTTTCATCGGCTCGCACATGTGTGAATAATACATTTGCTGATTTGTTTTTCAATTCTTCCATATTTTTTGTTTTGTTTCTGACAATCTCTGCTCCGCACTTCCCATTAATAATCTAGTGCAAAGGAGTACAAATGTGAAAATTTACATTGTTAGTCAATTTGTGATTCAAGTGCACCCTTAAATTTTCTTCGTGCCCCCCAAAAATGTCCACTGTGCCCCTTTTATCATTACTGAAGACAGTACACTAAGAGTATAAATGCTGAAATGATAATGCTGAAATGATTTTTTCTGAGTGTGAAACCTGAATTTGTATCTGAAATCTGGAAGTGTGACTTTTTTCCTCTCTTCATGTAAATAAGGATACAGTGTTTTGCTGAGATGTTTTTAGACCATTTTTTTTAGACAAATTATACTATTTCAAGTCGCGGCAGAGAGTTTGGTGTGTGTGAAATGTTGTCTTCTTCTTGGGCGGAATGTAACAGAAAATGATTAAGAAGCATTGTGCTCTATTTTAATCCTATGTGAGGGACAGTAAACTAAAAAGCGGTCAACAGACTTCGATGATCGGACAGGACAATGAAATGACACCAGATCAACCCCGTTTTTTCCGATATTTTCATGCCCTTTTCACAATCTGCAGAATTTGCCATCAAATTTGGGATGGCGTCAGACGCGGCTCCTCAAAACAATACCTCCAAGGGGATCATGACGTTTTACCCCACCGTTGAGGAGTTCAAGGATTTCAGCCGCTATGTCGCCTACATGGAGTCACAGGGAGCGCACAGAGCAGGCCTGGCCAAAGTATGTGCTTGATGCTGAACAATTTCTTGTCACAATTATACTTGAAGTGACAGTGCTGATTTTTATGCAATGGTGTCACACTGGTTTTGTCTCCTTAATAGTGTTTTTGGAATCTGGCATAGTGTGCAAAAACAA